CCCCGGGAGCCGCCCGCAACAGCCCCGCGCCAGGCCCGCAGCACCCAGTGCCTCATGCCGCTCCGCCGCTCCCGACGTCGCACGGCGTGACGTAACACGCAGCGACGGTAGGGCGCGCGCGACGGAGTGACGTTGTGTCGCCGCCGCTCCTGACGCATGCGCAATGGGGCGGAGCGGAACGCGGCGCGTGGAGGGAGCGGCAGTAGGGGATGAGCGTCGTGCTGACTGCTCTGCAGAGCCGCTCGTTGCAGGGCGAGGGGGAAGGTTTATCCCCGGCTCCATGCTGTTCAGTTAGATTCATGGCTATCCATACATTCATAGATATTAAGGTCAGAAGGGTCCGACCCCCAGCTCTGTTCCTCCCCTGCTCAGCCTCAGCCAACGTAGCCCTGTGTCTGGAAGAGGTTGGATCGCTACCGCGTGGCCTTTACATCAGGGATGAACAAACCCGCTCGCCTACGCGACTGCTTGTCCATGTGCTGGGGGTGGAGCAGCAAAATGTGCATGTGCATGCATGTGCAAGCACATAGGGACCCGGTGATGTACCGGGGTCCGTTCCGGCCCTTCACAATCTGTGAATGATACCTGTACACGTTATTGTGTCCTTTGACTAGCATGTGTTTAGGGACGAAATTGGGAAATAAAAGGAGTTCTCTAGACTGTAGGAAGCTGGCACAGACGCTAGCAGAACTATCACTGTCAAAAGAGTTTGTTAAAGTCCTATAACTACATGTACTCTTATTTCCACTCCCTGGATACTGAAATAATGTAAGGAGGCCTAATATTTTACATCTTATGAATCTTATAGATGCTCCTCTGAGTTGTTATACAGGCAGTCCTCAGATCTACACCACAATTGGTTCATGAAAACCACGTCTTAAGTCAAAATGTTGTAACTCGGAACCAATTTTCCCATCGGAAACAATGTTATAAATGTGGGATTGGTTCCTGAACTAAGGCCTGATACCCTATTTTTACCAAAAATACCCCAGAATTTTGTACTTAATCAATTATAGATGAGTGATATAGCTACATGAATGTATTTATATTGTAATTAGCAAATCACATTGATTTGGAAGGACTTCTTTGAGGTGACTTTGCTGGACTTTTTGAAGGGCTCTCGGTTGGACTTTTTGAAGGGCTCTTGGCTGGAGTCTCCCCAGGAGTCTTGGCTGCAGGTTTTTCTGGAGCCTTGGCTGCTTTCTTAAAGAAAGTGCCCCAGGAAGCTTGGACAGATGTTCTCCAGGGAGATGGGCAATGCAGTGAACATGTTCACTGGCATGGCGTGGCATCAGATCAAACGTTGTAAAGTCGAAACTGGTGTCAGAAAGTTGAAACAGGGTGTTGATTTACAAACATTGTAAGTGCAAAACGTTGCAACTCGAAGAGTTGTTAAGTCGAGGACTGCCTGTATCTTAATCTCAGCGTTCTACCTTTCCAAATGTATGTCCTTCACCTTTTATATATATGCTTTATGCCATGCTGTAGACCTGCTACTAGCTTGTTTCCGCTCTGGTAAGATAGCAAAACGTCACATTCTAATCTAGAGTTTTGCAAAACGAATCCTCATGGAAATCTGCAGCTAGCATACAACTTGGTCAACTTAGCTCAAATCTGTATGTGCTTGCTATTTAGGTCTTCAGAGTCAATACTAAAAAAACAAACCATCTCTTTTGAACAAAAGTCTGGAACCTTTGACCACATGATTTTAAGTGGCTGCCTTCAAACAGCGCAATGTGCAGAGTAAGTGGAAAAAAATTCAGTCAAAGGGGGTGATAACACTGCAGTCACACTGACTTCCTGCTGGCTCTGAGCAAAAGAGATTAGAGAGAGTAGCTGCTGGGTTTGAAAAGTGAATTTCTCTGAGTGTGTTTGTGACTGTGACATTCTTTGCCTGAATGGTGATCATAACATAAAGAATGTTCTGTTCTGAAAACCAGAAGGTCAGGATCAGTGCATCATGAGCTGCCTTCTCCCATAAGAATGAACATATCTTATCCTCTCGACTAAGAACATTCTTCTCTCCATGAGAAAGATAGTTTATATGTGTAACTCCCGTTAGGCTTACTTTAAACTATGCATGCAAATTCTCTAATGTGTCCTGGTATCTTTGACACTAAAGATTTGTTCCACACAGTATCTAAGAATTCAGAAATACTGGAGATATTCCAGTGGAGATATGTAAGTTAGCTGGAAGGTAGACTACAGAATCTTTATACATACAGTTGGGGCAAAGTATCCATAGATGGCATTGCCCAACGTAGGGGTCACAGAACATTTAATTTACTAGTTTCATTTTCAACTGGATCACACAGGTTCACTCCCCTTTCCACTCCTGTTTTGCCCCAGTATTAGTTTTCTTGATAGGTCACTCCTAACTTGGTATAGGATAAATGCTTTATCATTGCCTCCACCCTTTTCAGGGAGAGCAGAGAGGGAAACTCTTTATCATGTTCTCTGATTGGTATAGAAAGAACACCACAACAGATATCTTCTCTCATATGTTGAAAAAAAACACTTTGGCCATGCAAAAAATGGCACATAATGCCATGCGAAAAATGGCATTTGTGCCCCAAACCCTCAGACAGGAAAAATCTATTATATGGGACAAAAAGAGGTTGTTTTTGTTCCCCTCTTCAGAACCTGCACTTAGAAAAATGATTGCTCCTAAAAGCATCAGTCTTCAATTACTGTACTGACCCCATCAAATCTAGCCATCATAGCTTCCACATCTACAGTAATAAAATTAATGAGGCTGTGTAATGTCTCGCATAATTGACTCGATCATGAGTGCTCAACCCCCAGCCTGCAAGGGTCCCCATGGGTTGGAAAATTTGGTGGTGAGGGAGCAGTGGCAATTAATACCGCCATCCCTCCCCCACTGCCAAATTACCAAGCCCCACAGAGCTGGATCGGGCCCAGGACAGGACCCCTCCCCACCATAATAAGCTTGGGCCTGGGGTGCCCCCCACCAGTAGCTAGATCAGGGCTGGGCCCCACATGCCAGATTGGGTCCCTACCGCAGTGGCCCGGTGTATTGGATTGAGCCCATGGGCCTGATCTAACCAGGGCCGGGTATAGGCATGGGCAAACTGGGCAGCTGCCCAGGGCCTGGACAGAAAGGGGGCTCAAAAATGGTAATTTTTTTTCTGTTGTCCAATTATTATTATCATTATCTCTGGTGAATACTAAAAGTTTGCCTAGGGCCACCAGGAGTCTAGGTACGGCACTGGATCTAACCCAAAGACAGACTAGGTACTACCCATCTGGCCCATGGGGCGAAAACGTTGGGCACCACTAAACCAGATGAATAAATGCCATTAATCTGAGAGGCTGGGTGAAGGCCAGGAAAGTCAACAGGAAAAGGAGCCTGGATGGGCTAGAATTTGATATGGACACCACTGAAGAGTTGAGAATTACAACCCTACAGCTTTCTGCTGTTACTCAGTATAATTTCTAACACTCACTGCTCAATATATCAGCTAGTAAGTACCACATGGCTGCATTTCCTACTGATCTATGCAGTGTATGTCTGGACTAGCTCTGCTCTGTTTTCAAAACTGGTATTGAAAATGAACACCCCACCCCAGCACCACCACCTTTCTGCTCCTACTCCATACGTTCTAGAAACAAATAAAAATTGATAAATCTCCAAAGAGTAGGAAGGGGAATTGCCCCATGACAGTCTTCCTCTCTGTATTTCTGGGTTTAGAGCCTGAAAACTGGGTGTGGGTGGGCAGACCATACTTTTTAGTGGCTGCCTTGGGGCCAGTGCGGAGCCAGGGTAGTATAATAAAAAAGTATAATAAAAAATATAATAAAATAGCAAATTGAAGCCTCAGAGCTGTATCAGTTCCACTCCTTTCATCCTGTCTGAAATTATTCTTAAGGAAGCTAGAAATACTGAAACTGCAGGCTGAATTCTTGCCAGACTCATTCATAAAATAAAGGTGTTTCATTTGCTGTGATTTCATGGTTTGAACTTCAATAACACTATTTTTACTCCCAAATAATATCTTGACCGCTGTAATGTAACTGTGTCACATAGATAATGTGACATGTTACATAGATCTTTTATTACAACTTACTGCTCATATTCTTTATCTATTGTAACTAAAAGCCTACCTGGATATAAACTTTACTGCAGAGTTAAAGCAATGGTTTTATTGCTATTTAAATGTAAAGCTCACAGACTTTGCTTTTCTATTGGATTTGAACTCTGCTTTGGTGCATGTTAAAAAAATGTTTAGTTATTCTGTAACTAGGCACTTGGGGTCAAAGACACAGAAGGAATTAGAAAAGGGCTATATGAACTGATAAACAAGGCTAAAATGCCAAGGACAGAGTCTAGTTTCTTCCTAGAAATGCTGAAGACAAATTTGGGGAGGAGTGAGACCACACAATCAATGCCCCGGCTGTCTCTCTGCTTCCAAACCAAAGACATTGAAAAATATTTCCAAGACATAAAAAGGTATTTTCAGCTGAACAGTGCATGTGACATCAGTGGATATATCAAGCACAACACCTATGGTAGTTGCTAAAAAAGGCAGCGTACATACTTTTTACCCTGGAGAGCATTCAGTCTGGCTTGGGCAAGGAATGCTGTGGGCTGACATAAGGACTCCAGATATTCAGCGGGAATCTTTGGTTTAATGTTCACAGACATTGGACTGAGCTCTAACAAATCCTCAGCCAGGCACTCTTCCTCCAAACAGCAGACCTTAGCCCTTTTTCTAGCATAGAGCTGGCACTGGACCGGTTATGCTGAGCTGTTGAAAATGCAGGAGGAATCTTCTGAGTGCCACACAGGTGAGTTTCCACCCTTTTTTTTCTGCAGGCCCCCCTGGTGCAGGACATGAGCCAAACCTTCGTTTTGGAGGAATTGTTCTGGCTCCAGGCTCCTTGGGATCTGCGGGAGGTTAGGGCCTCTAATAATCAAGCTTCCTATTTAGATACCTAAATAAGATGCCTCATTTTAGGAGTTCTGGTTTGGAAATGTAGGCAAATAGGGCCAAGCCCACCCTGCCTTGGCTTTGAGGCACCCACTGAGGAATATAGTAGTGTTAAAAGATCGCTGATGATCAGCTTCATAAAGGAAAGATCTTAGTATTAGCTGCATCCTGCTTTCTCTTGGAGACTGGACTGTGTTTGGGCCAAGATTTCCCCTCACTTTCTCACACCAGTGTTGAATTGAGTAAATAAGGGGTGCACAACAGGACTGGGTCCTCCAACTGGTGAAACTGCTCGTTGAAACTCTTATATACCAATAGACGCATCATTTTGTATGAACAGTGACAAGGAAGAGCAACGCTGTACAGCAGCCCAAAGAATGGTGATAAAGCCGTGGCTGGTATGGCAGGGACTTACTAAATCATGCGACTTGAAAGAAGGAAAAGTACTACAGGAAGCGTAGGAGAGAGAATACATAAGTTCCAGCAAATCCCCTAGCTTCTGGCTCTGGGTCTGTCTCCTTGGACAAAGAGAAGAGCCCTCCATACCCGCAAGGAATGCATTTCAGAACGAAAAACTATAATCCTGTTGCCTGCCAGCCTGAAGCTTAATAGTAAACCATATCTGTTTGGGGAGGCTAAGCGTCTGTTGGATAAGCTTTTATTGGGGCAGGCAGGGATAGTTCGGAATTGCAGAGGGGGGCTCAGCAGATGAATTGTTCTAGGACAGCGCCTTAACGTAAGAGGCTTTAATTCAAACTGGGAAATGCATGGAGACTGCAACCAGCATCCCCAGATCATATGCTATTAAGTGAGACCTTGGCTGCTAAGAGCCTGACTGCTGCTTTGGAATACACGTTTTTCTTTTGGCACATTGTTCAATTTTGGGCTAATGCATTGCTGGATGGACTTCAGTATGTTATGTAGAGCAAACAGTTATTGTGACATACCATATTATCCTTTTATGAATAAGTGTTGCCATTCTTTATTTGCGTAACCCACACTATGTGAACATAACTTGGCATAATCAAACTTGAAATTTAGAAATAGTGGATCAGAAAGGACCACATTTTGATTTGGAGTTGTAGGCTCCCTAATGCCTCTCAAAACAAGGTTTCTTAATAATGTGCCTATTAATAGTTTATTATTAATCACCTAACTTACACATGGAGGTGATAATATTGCATTTCCTCTCATCGGTGCTTTGGGCTTAACTCCTGAGATTATTCACATTTGCAAAATGCTTTGAGCTCCTCAGCTGCAAGGAGCAATATAGTAATGATTATCACAATAATTATTATTGTTGTAGCCATCACTGTCATAATAAGTATAATAATTCAAAGGATAATAATTATATGGATTATAATAATAAGGATGATGATGATAATAATAATAATAGCTTCATGTAACAAAGTCCAAACCAAGAAAATTGTGGGTGTGTGCGTGTGTGCGTGTGTGTGTGTGTGTGTGTGGCAGATATATCTTTTTAACCACAGAGCACTGTTTCAGAATGGAATTTTATTCACACTTCCCTTTTGACATGGATCATTTCAACAGCTTAAATAAAGAAACAAATAGTTCTTAGGCTTCATGATAGGGAAAAGTTCATTCACCCTATGTTGCAAGTGGCCCTGCTAAATGTGGGTGTGATTTTACAGAACTTTGACAAAGACGTACCTGTTGGTTTATTGCTTTCCACATGACTGCAAGTAGCTGAATGAATCACTGCATACAACTTAAAGAAAGTTGCAGCAAAGATCGCCCTGCTAAAGGGAAACGCTGAATTGTGCTCCACAGAGACAGGAGCCTTCAGACAGCGTCGCAGGACTCAACATGAGACTGTAATTAACTTCTCGAAGAACAACTTATTTCTGGTGAGTGAACCGTTCACTGTTTCTAAAGGGAAGCGTCCTTTGCTTTCTCAAGGGAGAGTGGAAAGATTCCTTGAGATTTTGTGTCAAAGGTACATGATGGTCTTAAGGAAAGGAGGAATTGCCTGTTACTGTCCGAGAAGAAAACACGACAGGAAAAACGTCTTCAAACGTTTAAGCTGAGATATAGAGGAATCCTGGAAAATATAATGCAAATGAAAACTGTTTAGTATCACTTGGATTTGCTTCCAAAATTTTAACTAGGCAAAAGATAAGAAATGGTAAAAAAAAAAAATTCTTTTTAGAATATTTGAAATATTAAAGCTTTGCTCTCAAGATACTGCCAACTTTGAACTCATCCTACAATTTAACTTCCTTGGACATAAATTAGTGACTCCTACTTACAAGATATTGCCGGTCTGTCAGTCCAGTACTTGAGCTGGTCTGGAGTCTAGGAGAGCTGTCTCCAGGTACTGTATGTGGAATGACATATTATCCAATTTAACGTAATTAAACAGCATCACTGGGAATAGGTTCCAGCTGACCAAAGACAAACAGGGATCCAAACCTGATTATTGTAATTATATTATCAAATTTATCATACTTAAACAGCCCCCACTCCTCCAAAAAAACTCCTGCCCGGGCATATGCATTGAAGGTCTGGGCGGCTCTCATGCATACACCATGATCCAGGAGGATTGGCGGTTGCCACTTAGTATGATAACTGTAGAGCAAGGAGACAAGACTGCCATAAATAATGTTTTATCAGATATTGTAAGCGATTGCCTTTCTTGAAGGTTAGACTGAGCATCTGTGACTTGTCTCAGCTAGATGAATCGTACATGGAAGCAGAAGACCTTAAGTGAAGACTTCAAGGCCGGCTGGCCAGTTCATTTGATTTGCCATATGTTCCATTTTACAAAGAAATCCACTGGGAAAGAGTTCAGCTTTCCCTCGATGTGATCAGAAAATTGCAGCTGCAGTTATATAAACATCATTGCATCCAGCCTGAGGATGGTGTATGTATGCCTTACTGAGAGGCTTAAAAAAAATTGATGTGTATTAATCAAGTTGCCTCTTTGCAGATGGAGGAGATTTGCTAGACTGGATGCTGGGGCTGTATGAAATATGCCCAGTAAGAAGCCACAATTTTAATGTTTTCTTACATCTCATTGTGATTTAATAAAAACGGTGCAATTGGATTAAAAAAAAAAACCCTTCAAAACCCCACAGCTCCTGGTTTTTTTGAGCAAAAAACTTGAGAATTTGGAAAAGTACATGCAGATGACTTTTTTTTTTTGCCAAAATATATACAATGCAAATTTTGCACCTTTCAATGTGAAAAACCAAATGGGGGAAGGAACTTTGTAGAAAGGATCAACCCAAAATGGTATGACAAAAAATGTTCACCAAAAGTGATAAACAACTTCCAAAATTTCACTCAAGCCCCAAATGAATTGAAGCTAGGAACATTTGGAAACCAACTTTCTGTTCTTGGAGCTTCCCATACGGTTGCAAGGGAGAGGTCTGCAACCGGAGGGGCTGTTACTGGTTGTTGGGCGTGCTGGGCTCAGGAGGAAACAGGGAGGAGATTAATGATCTTGGGAGGTGTCACCCGCTGTCCCATACCTTCCTACGAACTAAAAAAGGCAATGATTTGAACCATGAAATTTGGTAATTGTAGACAGTTGGACGAGACAGCTTGAAATACCATGTTTGATTTTAGATACCAGCCTCTCTCGGGACCGGATAGCTTATTTTCACAGAACATGTTGTTTGGGTGTAATATAGATAGATGCTTATAGCTACTGATAGGGTGCATGAACACATGGTGGAGGTTAGTTCCTTTAAATTGAAACGGTGGGTTTTTAACTTTGTGGGTTTTTAATTGTAACCCACCCTTTCAATTCAGGGGCTTCCGTCACAGCGACAGCCCACCACCAGCTCACCTTTCCCCCCGCTCCCGCCACGGGCAGGCTGTGCTGGAAAAAAACTGAACCAAAAATGGCAAGGGGCCTGATCCTTTTTTCCCCCCTCCCAGCACAGTTAGCTCACCTCTCATATGGTGGGGGGAGTGAGCTGCTAGTGAGCCAAGTGGACCCTGAATTGCGGGAGGGCCTGTCCTTCCCCCCCCATGGTAGTGGCACCCCCCAGGGTCACCCGGGCTGGGTGCTTGGTGCATGGGTGCTGCCCCAGCTCACAGGCAGCACCCACTGGATCCAAAGTACATGGGGAGCTGAAAGCCTGGGCATGCTCAGGGGAGCTCAGGCTCGGTGGGCTTCTAGCACCCCGTGCATCATCCCCACCTTCCCACTGCCTGGGACTGCCCAGGAACAGGCTGGCTTGCCCCTGGAGCAGTGCAGGAAGGCAGCAGGAGGGCAGCTGGGTGTGCTGGCAGCCAAAGAAAGTGGTGGGGATGGTGCATGGGGTGCTGGATGCCTGCCAAGCCTGAGCTTCCCCGAGCCCACCTAGGCTTCCAGCACCCCATGCACCGTTCCTGCCGCCTTCTCTGGCTGCCGGGCATGTACACATGTGTGATTTTTTTTTTATCCACAATGGGACAATTTGTCCCAATCAAACTGGAATATATCAGAGGTGGTCTAAGTTACTATGCACAAATAAAGTTTTATGCAAAAAAAATCGTGCATGTGTACATGGTGACACATGGTGTCACTTTTTGTCTTTATAGAAACATAGAAAATGAGGGCTGGAAGGGACCTCAGGAGGTCACATCTAGTTCAACCCCCTGCTTAAAGCAGGACCAGCCCCAACTACATCATCCCAGCCAAGGTTTGTCTTAAAAACTGCCAAGGACAGAGATTTCACAACCTCTCTGGGTAGCCTGTTGAAGTGTTTTATTACCCTAGTAGTGATAAAATTCTTCCTACTATTTAACCTAAAACTCCCTTGCTGCAACTTGAGACTGTTGCTCCTTGTTCTGTCATCTGATAACAGTCCAGCTCCATCCTCTTTTGAACCCCCTTTCAGGTAGTTGAAGGCTGCTATTAAATCCCCCTCAGTCTTCTCTTCTGGGCTAGGGACAGACATTACACACAAACCGGTTTAAGTGATCAGAAACCAGGTGTACACGGCTCCACCATCACATGTACAAGCACCCTTAGGCACCAAAACATTGTTTTTCTAGAGGCACAGACAGAAGCGACAATTTTCACCTGATCTGGCCCCTAAAAGCACTCTATAGCCATGACCTAACACAAGTGCCTGGCTGCAGAGCACTTTAAAAGGGCCTGA